AACGGATAATCTGTTGTTTTAAATTACAATTGTTTTAGTGATTGAAACTGTTCCGTTCATCACTAACCAATACAAGCCAACAAATTATTATCATCGAGATCATTTAATCCACTGTACGGTCAATTAAAAAGTAGTATTTCAAACGACAAATAGACTGTGTTTCTTATAATGATCAATATCAAAACCAATGCCTAAATATAACATAATGAACGGAACAGTTACAATTTGGTTAATAATAAACATTTATATATTACTTTAAATATTGTGTCAACTTGTCAAGCAAAGTGTCGTCTACTTGCGGTGTTGTTCATACCATGTACTGAAAGCAAACAGATTATTATAGCTACTAATGGGCGAACGGAACAGTTGCAGCTCATATAATATATATATAAAGATTTAATATACCTTAGAGATCAGTTTAATAGTTATTAAAATGTTAACACAATATAAGCAATTTTCTAATTGTAATTTAGTTAACTCAACACCATTGTAAACACATGTAACTCCCTTTGTTTGAATGCATATTTTGCGCCCACTTGCAACTGTCCCGTTCAGTGCGCATGTGTAAACACCGTGTCATTGATGGTAGACATATAGCACACTCTAGTGAACTCAAAAACGGTTGTGACAAAACATAGGAGTGTTTTTTCAATAAACATTCCTATGTTTAACAAATATAGAACATTTATATGTTTTGTATAAAACATTTACACATTAAAAACGTATACATGTTTTGGCTGTTTTTTCAGTGAACGATTCTTGTGATCGGATCCCATATATAAGTGTAATGACTGAAAGCGTTGATAATGTCTTAATTCAAACGCTTATTCTTAAAGTATGTGCTGTTATATCACATATGTGTCAATTCGGGACCATTTTGTGTGATTCAAGAATACGTGTTTCAAGAATTGTCACATCAATCACAGAATCGTGTAAAAAGTTTCTACAATACAGCAGAATATTATGTTCACATTTGTAGCCAACGCTATCAAGAGATGGCGTGTCGTATAGATAGCAGTGTTTGCAGCGATAGAGAGGTGACAGACACTGAATGACATGGAATGTAAACATTGAGTGAATCAAACATTTCTCACGAATGCATTCAATGGAACCTCGCGTTGAAGTAGTGGTCACTCGTATTGACACACATTTAAGCCATTAATATATGGCCACAGCTTTGGCAGACATTCCATACGATTGCGCTATAAATAGGCATTGAATTGACTGTAAGTGCCATTCATTGGCTAATTGTGTCCCAAATCGCAGTCAACTCAAGTCAAGCCAACATATAATTCACAAACTGGTCGTCAATACTGACCACACGTTTCGCCACAATCTTTGCCATCAATTCACTCATTGTTTTGATTATATATTTATTGATTAGATTTAATAATTAGTTTTATTTTGCATTTTATTTTATATTTTATGTTAACTATTGGCCCGAAAAACAAACCCCAAAACCCGAAGAAACCAATGAATTGGCCGTAAATTTAGATATATTTTTATTATTAGTTTATTTTTTATATATTATATATAATACACACCAAAAAGTGTGGTGTCTTTGAAAGTGTCCACTGATTTCGATGATCGCAAACGACATGTGTTTGTCTTCAACTCAACACAACCCGAGATTCAACGCATTGTTAACGCAATTATTGTTTTTGCTGTTTATTTGCCATTCAATCCATTGTATGCCCGAAGAAGAGCGGATCCAATTGAGGTGTGTTTTTCGGCCCGTATTTAGTGTCCATTTGTTGTACTAATTGTCGCCTAATATGTGGTCAGAGATGAGGCGCGAGAGATGTTTAATCACGGATACGACTCGTATATGGCGTACGCCTATCCGGCCGACGAGTTG